AATAAGAGCTGGGTGTGAGTTCTAAATTCAGACATTTATACAAATTTTAAAACCCAAACAAAAGTAGAAAAGACAAAGAGGTCATTATAAATATGGTAGCACAGTCCCCAACATAATAGATAACAAATTTAAATAAAAATGCACCAACTTAGTGCACCCAGACATAAACAAACTTACGAGAGCACAGCAAATGATTAATAGCAAACTCCATACTCGCGAGATTTCAACACCCACTGAACGCACGAGAAAGACCTCCAAAACAGAAAATAAAACGAAATAATGACTAAATAAAACTCCTAGACAATGGCTACAACATCACAGAAAATATCTAACCAAGAATCCATGAATATACGCTTCTCACAGCTCACGACATTCCCTAAGATTGACCATACCTAGACACAAAGAAAATCTCAAAAATCTGAACAAAAATAGATCATACCATGGTTATTTCTTCAGATCCAGTGAATAAAACTAAAAATACCTAACAAGAACTCACATTTCTACAACAAAAACGTGAAAGAAACAACCCCTACTACATGAATTACTCCTCGTAAATGAAGAACAAGACGAATAAAAACTTATGAAGAAAAACAATGAAGACAATCTACCAAACTCCTAACATGGGGGGGGAGGAAACACAGCTAAAGCATTCGAGAGAAAGTTTACTCTCCATAAACGCTATACCCAAAAGCAAAAACAAAAATAGACCAACTAGAAAACGACAAGCTGAAAAGAAAACAGCAACCCAACCGCAGCAGAAAAGTGAAATAACAAACAAATAAACAGAATAAACCAAATGAACAACACAGACATATTCAGGGAGTTAATAAAACAAAAAGTTGTTCTTGAACAAATAACAAAATGACACCCACTGTGGCTAAACTAACAAAAAAAGCAAAAGAGAAATCTTATAGCATCCATCGCAGCGAAGAAAAGGAATTCACAACTGATCAAAGAGATACACAGAAATATATGAATACTACAAAAATCTTTAATGCACACAACTGAGAAAATTGGAGAAATGACAAATTTCTAGAAATCTACACGCTCTAGCAACCAGAAGAATAGATCTGAACCAGACAACTCAACAGCGTGAAAAATAGAAACAGCAATTAAAAATCTCCCTAAAAAGAAAAGTCCGCCCAGTATGGCTCCACACCTGCGAATTGTTACCATACTTACAAGAAGAACTATACCTATCGCAGAAAACTATTCCAACCAAAACATTTAGAAGAACGCGAACCTCACCCGACACATTTTATGAAGCAAAATATTACTCTATACCAAAAAACAGAAAGATGCCAACAAAAAAAAAACACAGACCCAAATCCCCTAATGAAATAAGATGCCAAAAATTTCAACAAAATCTTAGCTAACCGCACCAAACTTAACACAAAAAATAATCCACCAACGACAGTGGCTTCCATCCAGGATCAGCGGATGGTACACATACGTACAATCATAATGCACAATTCACCAACATCAACAGAAGCAAAAACAAAGACACATGATTCTTTCAATAAGATGCAAAAGCTTTGACAAAATTCAACACCCTTTCATGATCGACACTTAAAAAATAAGCATAAAGGGGACAACCTAAAAATGAACAAGCCATATATGACAACCCGTATCCAACATCATCACTGAATGGAAAGACTGCGAATCATGTCCCACTTAGAACTGGAACCACGAACAAGGCCGCCCACTAACCCCACTTCTATCAACATATGCTGGAAGTCTTGGCTACAGCAACAGACAGTAAAATGAATCAAAGGTATCCAAAACGCCGGCATAGAGAGCTCAAACTTTCACTCGTTCATGTGATAATTGATAATGTACTACAGAAATCCCCAAGGATTCACCGAAGAAAACTCCATGGAACGATCATATTAGTAAAGTCTCAGATACAAAATCAATAACACCAGAAAATCAAGGCATTTCATATACCCCACAACAATCAATTGAGAACCAATCAAAACTCCCAATTCTCACAATATCAACAAAGAAATTTAAAGTATCCTAGAATAATATTTAACCAAAAGAGGTAAAGACCCTCTACAGGAGAAACATGAATTTTTTTTTTACCTGAGAATGAAAATAGCAAAGGATTAAACAGAGAAATCCATACCATGCTCGGATCGGCAGACTCAATAGCGTCAAACGCTATACACACAAACTGACACAGATTCAATCAAACCCTATTAAAATCCCATCCCAGCATTCTTCACGATATAGAACTAAAAAATAATTATACGCTTCGTATGAACCAAAGAAACCCGTAATCAAGAAGCAATATCTAGGCAAATACAAAAACACAAATATGGAGGCATAAATACATGCCAGAATAATCAAACTATACTACAATCTGGTAATAAAACATACTTGGTAATGCACAACAACAGGAAATGACCAGTGAACAGATGTAGAATCCTGATATATCTAAAACCTCCTCCCATCATAGCCATCTCCATCTTGACAAAGCAGACAAAACCATACGCGGGAAAAGATCCTCTTCAATAAACATGGTGCTGGAAACTGAAGCCACCTGCGTAGAAGGCATAAAACAGACCCACCCCTTTCACCTCTCCATAAAAACCAACTCACCGCTGATAACAGACAAACTAAATATGAAACTAATAACAACTCAAGAAAAAAGTTGAACACTCCTCCCTAGACACTCGACCTGGCAAAGGTTATGAAGAAGTCCCCAAAGGCAATCACAGCAGAAACAAAAAATAAATAAATGGGAACATGATCAAACTAACAAACTTCTGCCACAGCCAAAGAAATAGTCATGAAAGAAACAGACAACCTACAGATTGACGAAACTTTATGCATCCTATCATCCGATACAGAGGACTGATATAGACTCAGAATCATACTAAGAACTCCAACGAAAATATGAACAAAAACAAATAACCCCATAAGAAAGTGCAAAGACTTGAAACAAATTTTCTAAAGAAACAGAAACCCAACAACAGCAGATGAAGAAATGCTCAACACATCCAATCATCAAAGGGAATTCAAATCAAAAACCACAAGATATCATTAACCCATGAGAATTGCCTTATCAAAAAAATCCCAAACAATAAATGCGGCGTGGTAGCGAGAGCCAGAGGATGTCCAAATCGCAACACTGCACATACACCTGTGACTGCAAACAGGTTCAAAACCTTGGAGAAAGCAATATGACATACCTAAAGCGATACACAGTGATCCCTATCATTTGAGCGCAGCACAACCATGCTGGCATGCTACCCAAATGATCCCAGTGACACCCTACAAAAAAAAGACACCTGCACTCGAATGTTATAGCACACAAATTCATAATTGCAAGCTGTGGAAACCGCCCAATCCCAACCATAAAAAATGGATTAATAAAATGTGCTATCATTACACCACATAGGAGCACTATTCAGCTTAAGAACATGTGATAAGCACACCTTATATTTCCTGGTAAGCTGAACCCCATACAACTAAGAAAATCGCCCAAGAATGGAGAACAACACCAATATATCTCCATAAAACTGTATTAACGAGTAGCCACCTAAGGGACACATAAGGTGCTACAGAGTAGGGTCATTGGGCAGGGAGGAGGAGGGGGCGGTATTATACATACATCATGAGTACGTGCACCAGTCGGGGATAGGTCATGATGAGAACTCAGCTTTTGGAGGGTAATGTCCATTTATTGAAACCCTTAAAATCTGTACCCCATATACGGCCAAAAATAAAAAAAATAATTAAAAAAAAAAAAAAAAAAAACCATAAAAGAAAAGACTAAATAGATTCAATCCCATTAAAATTTATAAACCTTAACACACCCAAAAAGGGTAAGACAACCACACGTATAAGTCATGTTACATAATCACCGACACACAAAGTAAGTATACAAAATAATATGAAAAACTTGTAACAAACAAAGAGAATAGGATAACTAACCAACAAGAAAAAGCTCAGAACATATGAACAGAAAAATTTAAAAACAAATATGCATTGCTCAGTTCAACTGCCCTACAACCAGAGAGCAAATGGCTACTCCACTCACCGTTTCTCTGAGTTTGGCCCAACATGTTAGTATATCACCTTTCAGAAACACCATAAAAAGTTACTGAAAATAAAATAAATAAAGAAATAAATAATGTTTTATATTTAGTCACATGATTAACAGACATTAATTGTCCATAGACACTGTCATTCTCTGCACATACAAGACACTATAAGAACTTTTCTTTCCTTCCCTCCCTATCTTAACATAGGACAGACATTGCTCAAATACAGTTTAATTTGACACAAACTTAAGCATCTTTAGAGCAAGGAACATTTCCAATACTTTTTCCACAGCCTTGCCATACACCTGTGCTAGTAACGAACTGCTGCTCAGCAATAACTTGGATAATTTAATTGAGGTGATAATGATTTTATCCTTTTTTCATTCGTATTGGTAATTTTTAGATAAATACTCCTTTTGCTCTTTTCCTTGACTAATCTCTTCCTAGAATTAACGATTAGAAGTTTATTACAACAAACGCAGGACTGATACATATCATACATTTTTTATTTTAAAAAATCTGGGCATCTTTGTTACTTATCTATGATTATTTATGGGAGGAATGGGCAATTGCAAAGACAAACACTAGATAAAATTTTGTTAAAGCAGTATAATAAAAGAAAATATAAAAGTATTGTTCAATGGTATTCCATAAGAATCAATACTTATAAATTCTAAAGAATCAATACTTATAAATTTTAAAATGTGTTATAAGAGACAAATGGGAGGGGTCGTCAATAAAAATCCTCCACTAATAGGACATTTCCAATATCCAAGACTTTCACAATTAACAATGTCTCGGAAGGGAATTAAAATATGCAAAGAGTACATCATCTGGAAAAAGGGTCTGACAGTATTTTTATGACATTCAGGGGAATCAATTTCATTAATGGCTACAAGGGGTATAAAATAAATAGCCACAATACAACTGAAGAAAGAAAAATACTACTCACAGAATAGTATTTTTCTTCTCTAGAAGTTTTTTTATGGCTTCTTTGACATCTTTGTTCCTCAGAGAGTATATCAAAGGATTCAACATGGGAGTGACTAAAGAGTAACACAAGGAGGCCACTTTGCTCAGTTCAGGAAATCTGTCAGGAGTAAGATACATAAAAAAGACAGCACCATACAGCACACTCACTACTCCCAGGTGAGAACTGCAAGTTGAAAAGGCTTTCTTACGTCCCTCTGTGGAACGTATCTTGAGGACTGTGGACACAATGTACATGTAAGAAACAATGATGACTATGATGGTGGGCAAGATAATGACAGAAGATAAGGAAAAGGATATCATTCTGTGGATAAAGAGGTCTGAACAAGATAGTCTCCGAAGTGGACGAGTATCACAGTAAAAGTGATCAACAGCTCGAGAAGCACAAAAGGATAAAGTAAATGTCATGCTGGTCTGAAGAACTGAGCTGATGCAGCCACAAAAATAGGAACCAGCCACCAACTGAGTGCAGAGACGTGTTGACATCTGAACAGAGTAGAGGAGAGGGTTGCAGATGGCAATGAAGCGGTCATAAGCCATGGCTGCCAGGAGAAAACCCTCAGTGACAATGAACAGGGCAAAGAGAAAGAATTGTGCCACACAACCTGCAAAGGAGATGGACTTGCTCATAGACCAGAAGTTGATCATAGCCTTGGGTGCAATAACTGACGAATAGAAGAGATCGATGAAGGAGAGATTACCTAGGAAAAAATACATCGGTGTGTTCAGCCGAGGATCAGTCATAATAATGGTCATCATGCCAACGTTCCCTAGAAGGACCATGGAGTATATAAGCAGAAATAGCAGGAAGAGAAGAATGTGTATCTCTGGGCGGACCCTGAAGCCTATGAGAATGAAGTCAGTCGTTTCTGAGTGATTACTTGCTCCCCTGTCAGCCATGGCAGAGACCTGCTGAGATGCACAAGGCAAAATAAGCAAATGAACTCTTGGCTTTGCTCCTAACATTACACATAATCTCTTACACAATTGGGATTTACAAAGCTGTTCTGTAATCATAACTCATTTTATCTCATAGATGTACTATAGCTTATACTAAAGCCAACCCACTGGTGTTAAATACTATACAAAGATTAGTTGTTTTCCTTAGTTCCTTTAAGTGGTGGAATTTGGCTTTTTGTCTCTGTATCTAATACGATGCCTTTCTACCCAAATATCTTTCACATTTACAAGTATCACTTCTCTATACATTTCCCATTCATAATTTACAGAATAACTTCAACATCATGAAGCAAGGGCTGGAAGAGAGCACAAATAATTGAGTATCTTACATTCAGGATGCATGTTAGGTAGTCTGAAGATATTTCCAGATGAAGTAGTCAAGTTTAGGAAACTTTAGAGGCTTAATTTAGAGTATGAACAAATGTAAAGAATTTTAAGAACTACTTAGGAGGTACAATTACCTTTTAGAAGTCACAGAAACTGATTTCTGATGAAAGTTATATACCCACTAACATAAAAGTTGGGTATATAACAAAAGTTATTAATACATTTTAGGAAATCTCTTCCAGATAGGCAATCAAAACCTGTTTATAAAGAATATTTCCCTGCAATTCAGGAGCCTAAGACTCATAGCTCTTTAAGAAGAGATCTAAGATAAGAGTCACTTTAGAAATTAATACTGTAAAATATACATATAGGGTATTTTAATTTTATTCTTATTTACTGTAAATACAATATTCATAGCCTTGATTAACTCATTCGTTAGACAGTTCAAATAGGTTTTTAACTCCTTATATTAACAGTATAATCCAATTTTTCTCTCTCCATAGCGTTTATAACGCTGTGGAGAGTGTATAGATCATTGCCTAGACCTAATTCTGTCTAGGCAATAATGATAACAAATCTTTATGTGGTACTGTTTACATGCCAGATACTTTTCTAAATGCTTTTAAAATAGTTCATTTAGTCCATACAATAATAATATGAAGGATGTATTATTAAATTCCTGTATTTACAGATAAAGCAATTGAGGTACAGAGAAAAAATGGCTGTTGAAATTCACCTACTAGGATTAGAATCAGGATTTTCAGCCAAAAAACTTGGCTCTAGAATCAATGCTCTTGATCATTACTAATGATTAATTACTACACTATGTCACATTTTGCTAGGGAGGCCTTCCTTTTTCTTTAACTGACTTACTTTTGTTTGTAATTTAATTAAAGTTTCTTATCTTCAAAATAAATCCTCTAATCCTTCACCTTAGATGAAAACATCTCTTCCAAAGATATCACTATATTCTGATATTAATACAAAATATTAAGCATTCTTCAGTTGACCATAACTTCCTTAAAATCAACGTCAGCCTGTTGTCCATATATTGCCGGCATTTTGTTCAGTGTCTGGCAAATGACAATCAATATATAGGTACAAGTTGGATGATAATGATTATGTAGAACCAGTGACAAGCATGAAGGTACATAATACGACAGTAGTAAGTTTGACTTTTAGACTGAGATAGATCTGTTTCCAGTTCTGCTAAGGGAGCTTGGATAGTTACTTATGCCTTCTATGCCACTGCATCTTCATATATAAAGGAAGATGGTGTAATAATAATATATCCTTCAAAGTATTCTTAGGGATAGAAAATGACATATGTTTATAAATCATTTAGCACCATTTATGGCAAAGTAAGTATTCAGTAAATGTTAGCCATTATTATTTTATTATACATTTCAGTGCTTGGTTCACCCCATAATTCACACCAAAATAATTAATGCTAACTAGCCAGAAAGTTAATAACATGTATGTGGTCCTTTTTGGATAAACCATTCTAAGGTGAGGAAATGAAGCAAAGAAACTGTTAATAGAGGAGAAGATAAAGAAATCTGAGAGAAATGGAATATTTTGCCAGATAATAAAAGTGATTCAGAGAAAAATTGCATGATGTATTGTCATTTTGTAAGACTGTATTAAATGTTTAAAATGACATATTTTATAAGCTCTATCGAAAAGTAAGAATGCAAATAATTACATTACAAAGGACTACAATATTAGTTAGATCATATTTAGATCATATTTAGACAAATAATCAGCTTGACACTGATTATTTGTCAGATCATATTTGTCGGGTCTGAGAAGATAGGAGATATAAGAAGTGAAAAAAGTTTACCTGAAGTCTTCATGATATATCACTTTTTGAAAAATAAAATATTTTGTTAATCTGCCTTTAATCTTGCATAGAGGCAAGGATCCAGGTTATTTTAATTTTCAAGATTTATTTTTATCAAACTCAATGTAAAATTACTTATTATTAATATTAAATACTAATTATTACTCACTTGACAATGATGTCATTAAGATCAAATTCAACTTGTTCATTGTATATTGTCACTATAATGTTCTATATCTGGCAAATGACAATCAAACAATACATATTTATTATATAGATAAAAGTTTATAATGAGCATGCAGAATTAGAAAAAATACTTAATAAATTTATATCAGAAATATTATAAATGTCATAGCCTCATAAACATTAATAAATTTAGGACTGAATACACTTACACCTGGAAAAGGGAGTTTTTCCCAGAGAAGTCAACAAACAAGTAGTCAGCTTGACACTGATTATTTGTCAGAACCTTACATGTTTTAAATGTTACTTTTACCTTGTACTCTTTGGTAGTTTGTGAAATTCTGTTAAAAATGAAGCTGCAGAATTCCAATGTTTTCTTGTTTACTGTTTAATTCTAGAAAGGGTAAACATAAAGTTGTTTAATGACTACGCAGACTGAAAAATCATTATTTTACGATAAAATGAACGCTTCTCCCCAAATTTGCGTGCATTACCCCAGCTTTACATTTTTGCCATACAAAACTGTCATCCTCTTTGCTCTATTTAGAAAACTGTCCTTTCCTTTAGTAGTTGATTTCTTGAAAAATTCTATAGTCCTTTTTAGAAGAGAAATAAGGTGAATATTGCAAATGTTGTTCTAGCAAAACTGAAATAATTCCAGAATTATATTCTATACCTATGCAAAGTAAGACTGAAGAGCCAGTCCACAGGATAGTCTGTATCCTGCATTCTTAGATGCTTTATGATTTTAAGGAAGAAGATCAGATTGCCATGTATATGCAAGTAGAGGCCCTGAGCCATTTGGAATCTCTCATCAATTGCCAAAATATTAGCAGCAGTTATCGGTAAGGGCTTTGGTTTTGCTATGACGTTGCAACTTTTTCAGATAATTGCAGCATTGAGATTTCACTTACCTAAAGGGAGATAATACCTCTGGGAAAGAAGAAACAAGTCAATTACAAAGGTTTTTGCTAGGTTCCACTAGCAAAATCCATGAGGAACTCAAAGGCTTGAGATTTAAAAAACAAACAAACAAAAACCTATTTCAACTTAAAGTACACACAAGTTTCTTTCCTTCCTTGTGTGAATCATTGGGGACAGACCAAAATAAACTTCAATTTTAATGTCTTCACTGAAAAAGGAGAATTTTTAATTAATTATTACACTATAATTTTTGGTAAACAAATAGAAACAGATATGAAAGAAAATGGCAAAATATAATTTATAGAAGAATTATTAGTTCTAATTATAAATATAATTTAATTCTTTTAAATTCCATTCAGCCAAAACTCTCCCTGATTATGTTTTTAGCCATATTTTTCAGTAGTAATTAATTATAATAAATGGAATAACATGAACATCATATGGAGCAAAGCCCAACAATTCTCCTCTAATTCATCAAGTAAAGGTTAAATAATGACTGACTGACTCTAACATTGGATTCATTTTGGAATTTTAATTGCTTGAAAGTAGTTTATCAACTTTGTCATGAATTAAGTTAATAATTTCTCATAAGTCTTTATATGTATATTTCAAAATAACTTAAAGGACTGTTCTATATCAGCCAAAATTCATAATTTATATTTGACAAAAGTTAAGTGTTTAAGCTAACTGCTATTAATGTATAAAATAGTAAAGAAAGGGGAATGGATAAAAAGGGAGAAAATAATAGTGGCTCATAAAGTCTTCATATATGCAGCTGATCAAAGGCAATAGTTATATTTTTCCATTTCACTTTCCCTTTGGTCTGAATAACAGCCTCAATATATTGAAGTTATTTACCTGGTAGGGTGACAGAAACTTCACTGATGAAGGTTCTGAGACCTTGTAGTCCCACCTGTGTTAAATGGTTGTGGATCATTAATAATTAGTCATGGCAGTACTTGAAGACATCCTGGAAAATTCCCTGGGTTACTGATATATATTTTTGCCTGTCTCCTCCTTTTGCTAGTAAGAATCAGTTACTCAAAAAATACAAAGCATTTATTTTACCTGTTGGTCCAGCTAAATGCATGTGTTTAGGAGGCAGCCTCAACTTAGAGTTCATGTTAGCAATTGCTGTTAAAATTATCCATCTGTTATGTAGTAAGAATAATAATGCAGCAGAATCCAAGCTCATTGGGAAATCAAGGAAAAATAGTTGAAAAATCTATAGATTTTGTAGCAGTGGTTGCCATTTCCACTTTGAACCCTTGTAATTGGACCTATAGTCTGATTATGAGAGAAATAGACTCTTAGTTAATAATGAAAAGCATGGGTTATATCCTATGTTACAATTACTCAAGTTTATAAAATGATGACATCCAGTTTGACTAACAACCAAGTTTTCAAAAAGGGAGTCCACCATTCGATGAGTTCATCTGATCCTGTTTACTTGGTGCATGATAATTCTATTGAATTTCCTGGGTATGAGTGCTTTGCCTACCTTCTCTTATAAAATGAGTGCTTCATGCCATAGCACTAGTGCCACATGGCATAATAGTGAATGAGACATTTGTTGATTACTGATACGGTGGTATTAACAGAAGGAATGTAAGCAGGAAAGGCAAAATGATATCTAGAGCAGTATCTGAACAAGTAGGTATTCCTCTTGGAAGAACACCAAAGCAATCAGGCTGAAACAGGGTGGCTGGCTGATAGCCCTGGTTATGGG